GCGTAAAAGTAAAAGAGGAAGCGGGGAAAAAATCAATGCCTGCGTTTTATGTTCTATGCGTGTGACAGATCCGTAGTCATGGCAACCGTGACGGGGGCTAAACACCACGAAGAAAAAGGTCGTATGTCAAACGCGAAAATACCAAAATGGCACTTAAATTGAACTCACAAAGTCGCACCAACAACGCTGCGTTCACTGTTAAGCTTTTATTGTTTTCGGAAGTGCGGTGTGCGTCGTGCGAAAGAGAGGGGAGATGGGGTAAGGGATCCGGTAATCGATATTACGCACTTTTGTAGCAATGGAATTGGCGCGACACGATGCAAGAAATGTTTGCACGCGTTGCAACTAAGACTTTTGAATTTTTGATCTCACACTTTTACGTTTAGAAAAAAAATATTTTAGATTTATAGACTTATACATTTTAATACTCACTTTACTTGTGTATTTTTAATTTAAAGTATAACTAGTTAGAATTACTATCGTCATTAAAGGCTAGATTAATAACAAAACAAAAAGCTGTCAGAGAAAAATTAATTATCTACATTTTTTTACGCTAACCATAAGCCATCCGTAATTCCGAAACGAGTTGTATTATAACAAATAAAAAAGCATAGAACACACTCTCGTTCGCCAGATGTTCGAATTATGATTCGAGTTATAGAAAATAATGACGTTTTCACAGAAACTGAGTAATATGTACAGGGTGGGTGAAATTCTGATGAGTCACTCGGGTCCGGGTCGCGATGGCCGACCGACGCTCGCGAATTCATTCGATTCTCGGAAAAGAAATGTTTTTCGATTCTCGGAAACTTAATTATGTGAAACATCAATTATGTTATCGAGTCGACGGAAAAGTATTTATTTAGGAACTTTAGTAATTACTTTGTGAATGTATATAGGTGTTAAAATGAGAGAAAAAAATATGTTGTGTTTATACAATTTCATTGAATTCTCTGGAGTTTTCTATTATTAATGGATTTTTTATTTATACTATATATACAACGGATTGTAACACCACAAGCCGTTGTTCCTCGGTTGTCTATAAGTCACATTAAAAATCTGATTATGATTAACAATAAATTTCACTTACTACGATACATCTTCAGTATTATTCATTTTTTGTTTTTTAACCCGGAATTTCATGTAGTTGCTGACAATTAACTGTAACCTATTACACTAAGGGGCTGGCAGACCTAATGTAATTTATCCGATAAATTATTTAATTAAATATTTTAACGAATATTTTTGTAATAAGGGAAATTACTATTACAATAAAATCAAAATATTGCCAGAGTATGTGCCTTTAGTTAACCCACGAATAGAAACCGGGCCACTTCGTTAGACAGTTGTAATTGCAAGCTTTCGCCTCTAAAGGCATTCTTTCATTACAAAAACTAGCAGGAAAAAGTACAAAATGAAAAGTAGACAATATTCCCTTTTTTATTTCCAAAGTTTCACCGAACACTGGCGTCCATTTTGCAAAAAAATGCTCTTTCAAACGACTAGGAAACTAAAGTATATCCTTACTAATATTATAAATCCCAAAGTGAGTTTGTTTGTTTGTTTGTTTGTTCCGCTTTCACGCCGTAACTACTAAACCGATTGCTTTGAATTTTTGCAGACGTAAAGTAAGAAGTCCAGATTAAATAATAGGGTACTTTTTAACCCGGAAAAAATTGATATTCCCGAGGGAAAACAAAAGTATTAAAGATAACGCTGTGTGTATTGGTATATGTCACATAGGCTACTCTTTATCCTTTTGTGACGCGAACGAAGCCGCGGGTAAAAGTTAGTTGTTAATATTTTCACCAAAACACAAGTTTTGTAATAATTATGCTTCAAAAAGTTACAACATTAAAAACTGTCTTCAATTTTGAACCGACTCAAAACTTTGTTGTTTAGGACTTAGGAGTCGAGACTTGAGACTACCTAATTCAAAGTTTGCCTGTCTAGTCTGTTGCTGTCCCTGTCATTTCAAGAAATATTGTAGCGATAGAAATGATTTTTAAGATTGTCCTAAATTGGCCACTTGCCAACTAATCAAATTCAATACTTTTTTCGAACTGTCAAAAACGACAGTTTTCTATGAATTTTGTACGAAATTGTGTATTGTGACGTCACGTTTTGTTAGCGTTAAACAGTTACTAAATTTAATTTTGTCATAAAATCAATTAATTTAAGTGTGATTATTTTTTTCAATATTTTATTGTATTGAACCAATCCAAATAAATTATTTTTGATTAAGTAAAGTACTCAATTGGAATGATAACACCACTAGCCTACAATTTTTTAAAACATAAAAAAAATATTTATTTGAATTTTAATATGGAATTACTCCTGTGACGTCATAAACTTTTGCGTCGACTAATCTTTATTCTGATTTCTTATACGTATTGTCACGATTGACTACCGTTGGGCTAGACAGAGGCATTGGATCGCCAAATTGCGTAGCGAGTAGCGTGTAGCGGGTTTGAATCCCGTACGAAGCAACTTTTTGTGTGTTGCGCAATTTGTTATTCTAAGTCAAGAGTCATGTGTTATCATCATCAACAGCCTATAAATGCCCACAGCTGAGCTAAGCCTCTTCTGACACGGAGAAGGTTTGAGCACTACACTTGCTCAATGGGTTAGCGATTACAAACTTATAATTAGAAAATATAAGCCCAGGTTCCCTCACAATGTTTTCCTTCACCGTTTGTTAGTGGTGTCTTTTTTTTAAGGGGGGAAAATCATCGAATGACTTATCCCGCCTGGGTGAGGTGGAAGGGAGTGTCAGACTCTTACTGAGTAAAAACCACCCTGTTCCTTCTCCTGCACGTCGAGCCGGAGCCCCGGTTACCCGTTAGGTTCTCCGCGACTGTCAGTGGTGTCTAGATAATCTTAGAAAGTACGTATAACGCGGAAAAAGTCACATTGGTACTTGCCGTTGGTAGGTATTGAACCCGCACCCTTATGCATGAGAAGCAGGCGTCTTAAGCCTATGGGCTAACACGAGATCTCAGTGTAATGTGTATGTGTAAATTTATGTTAGTAAACGCACTTTCGATACAGGAACACTTATGAAAATGCGATTATGGCAACGTATTTTTTAAAAACGAAAGAAAAGACACGATTCTGTAGTACCTCTTTCACTTCATCTACATTCATACATACATGTATATTATATAGTCATATTTTATTTTGCCAAACTATTGTCAAGTATTAATGCATGTAAGAGCGTATATAGAAATAAAATTATAATTATGTTAGACCTACTCTCGCCTGTGACACAGGACTATCCTAGTACAGGCACCCAACGATGTGAGATCTATTTTATTTACCCAAGAAATATTTTTTTATCTGTGTCCATTTTCATTTCTGAATAAAGATTTTATTTATTTTATTTATTTATTTTTTTCATCTCTTCATGCAAGCCCGCCGAGAGTGGTTTTAAGTTCTCGATAAGGTTTTCTTTATTTTATCCTTCATATTTAGAAATCGGTTTTGATTGTCTAAGGTATGATTCCCGGATTGGCCAACTAATCTTTAGATTTGTTTTGTAAGCTTGTTATGTTATTACGGGACAATAAAATGTTTCCTGCCGATAATTCAGTACTATGAGTATTTTACTACAATACATGCCTCGTTGGCTGAGTGGTCGTAAGTGCGACTACCGGACAAGGGGTCTCTGGTTTGAATTCCGGGTCGGGCAAAGTATTACTGGGATAGACTTCTGTGAAAAATAACGACCAAGAACTCGATTATTCAATACTCTTTCATCTTGACTGATACTGTACCTTTTACCATCAACAGATAGCAGAGTCCACTAGTGCTGGAATACGCAAAAAACTAATTAATTTGTTGTGTTGTAGACTGTCAATTGTTTTCTTTTTTATCATTGTAATATTATGCTCTACTTAATAAACTTTCAATTTATACACTGAAACGAATTTAAAAATATACATTAACTATAAGATAAAAATGAATAAAAGAAAACTAAACATAACTATTTATATACACAAAGCATCAAAAACTCGTCCGCAACGACGTCAATAGGGAAAATTGTTTTAAGAAACTCTCATTAAATTAAAATCTAAGGATTCCTCTTATGATTAGTGATAATAAGGAGGCTATAAGTCTGTTCAACAGCTTTATATTTATTTTCACTTGGCATAATAAAGCATGGGAAACTTTATTCCTGTTTAAATTGTAGACTCATAGACGATGTATTTCAATCATATAGGTAATCGCTGTAGTATTGCTTTTTGAGTTTTGATATTAAAAGTCATTTTGTAGTTGCAAAGACAAGAATAACCTGAACTGTAGACTTGAAAGCAACAACTTTTGTAACAGGTAGGTACAGATGAGGGGCTCAATTAGAATGAGTTCGTCAAGTGTCATCCCTCAGCACGAGACACGCGGCTTGCGGCTCAGCTCAGGTTCAGACCGAGGGGAGTGTATGCACTGGGGCTGGGGTCCTGCCCTCCTGCACCTTACTGCCTCAACCCAAAACAATCGGAAACATCAACCTGTCGCCAAATGGGGACGAATATCGCACCCTCTTAACCAAATTGCGTAATAATTTCATTAACCCCTTTTCCTTAATTTTTACATCCAATTTGCTACGACCCTGTACCAAAACTGAGTTTTCTAAGCCATCGGAAAGAATATCGGGGAAAATATTATTCACTGACTATAAAATGAATTGTTGTAAGTTGATTGAACGCATCTACAACGCGGCAGCAAACTTGTACCGATCGATAGCACGCCAACGCGAAAGCTCCAAGTAAACAGATCGAAGCTTTGAGCGAACTCCGAATCGAATCCCGCCAAATGCAACGACAGCTGTGCGTAGCCCGTAGCGCGCGTAGCCGGGCGCGCGGTGTAGAGGCGGCGCCACCGGCCGTATTATTATTATTTGTAAACAAGCGAGCGAGCGTGTGCGGGCGCGGGGCGCGTCACGTGACCGCGCGCCATTGGCCGCCGCGGCAGCTGCGTCGCCGACGCGCGCGCCAGTCCGCCGCCGAACCTCGCCGCGTACACATGCACGCAGATCGCCCCGCGCGACGCGACACGCGCACTACTGACGCGATCGCGAACTCCGATTCCCTTTTTGTTTATTTTTCGCTTGCGTCCTTCGGACCGTTTTGTTTCCGAGGCAGCGAGACGAAGAAAAAAAGGAGGCGCGGATGGATCGAGCGAGAGAAGGTACAGAGTTCGCGTCTTATACAAAAGTTTTGTGGCAAAATGTGCAAGTGTGTCCAAGTAGTGGAATAGAAGCTTTTGGTTTTTGTGGATTGTTTAGTTAGAGGTACTCGTATATGTAGAACGACGGCAGCAGAGCGTGAAGCGAGGTCCGGTGCTCGTTCGCGTGCTTCCGCCAGAGCTTTCGTTGTGTGCTTTCGCGAATCGATCCCTGTTTTCCTGCTTGGCATTTATTTGTTGTTGAAACAGACAATTGGTAACCGAATCCTCAAGAACAGTCGGTGACATCGAGGTTGTATAGTTCCACTGTTATCTGAATCCAATTGGTTGTGATCTGTCGGTAGTTTGGAAGAGACGCTAGTTGTTAACAAAGTGTGTGAGAGTTGCAAACTTGTGCCCGGAAAACGGTGATAGCATCCGGAGACACGTTGTGGTGACGCATCGGCTGTCATTGTCTGATGCGCATGATGTCACATAATTTAGACCTTAATTGCAATGAGTTAAATTGAAGCGGGAACGATTTTTATCTACTTTATTGCAGTTTGCACGTTCAAAGAAAGAATTCCAGGAACTGCCGGTTAAACTCGCAAGCTGTGTTTATCGTGTATCATGGTCTAGTGCATCACAGTAGAGTACACGTGACCGAAGTATCAGAGTATAACCAATCACGATTGTCCAAAAGCTGGAGGTCAAACCAATCAAAAACTTGAAATAGATCTCATTTCGAGTCGAACGTTGTTGATTGAGTCTTCCTAAGAGTTTAACAAACGGATCTCTTCAACTTTCCTGAATTGACTTATCTACTTTTTCCAGTGATTGCTTGTTGGACTTTTTCTAATCTTTGGACTACTTTACTTCTTTAAACTTGTATGAAGGTCGGTCAATTACCTAACAAGCCTGCTTACTGAATGTTTTAGCAATAGAAACTATATGAGTTGCCCAAGTAAATGTATTAAAGAATACTCGAAGCTATGTTATAACTGCAAGTAAACATCATTCATCATTAACGAGCATTTAGACAAAATCGTTTCTACAACAGACTTTTTAATGTTCTAGTTGGTAACAACCTCAATACTTTTTATTGGTAGACAGATTCTAAGAAGGATCCGCTTTGCCTAGAAACCATTAGATCTCATCTCTAGACCTTTTAAACTAACAACTTCAATGAGAGAATCATACCCACGTTTTGTACTACAGTGGCATAGCTTGATGGATCGTAATTTTTCCCACAAAATGCAAGAACAGAATGCAAAGAGTATCACTTAAAACTCGACTTTTTGTATTAGAGATTAGAACTTAAAACTGATTGTAAAGTTTTACCGCTAGTTTTTCCAAAACGTTAGTTGTAACTCTCTTTATTTTATATTATAAGAATTCATTTCTATAATCTTTGTAATCGCTACTTAATTAAGATCTGGCCTGGATTGACAGACGATATTAATTTAGTGTTCAGCTTTATATTTTTAGTTTCTAGTAAATCCTATTCAAGTATTTGGTTCAACCTAAATCCTTATTTTACGACCTTTAGGTAGGCCTATCTTTCGTATCTATTGTCTATAAAAATTGAGCCGGTATTTTATAGCCTTTATATTATTCCATCTATCAATTATATGGAGAAATCTATCTACGTTATCAATACGCTTCAACTATGTATTCTAGAGCCGTTGCCTCCTGAAGAAAAAAAAGAGAAACCTAATTTAGATTAAACCAAAAGAGTTCTAAAAGGAATAATAAAAGAACAAATTCCAGAACCAAACCTTAACTAGCTACAACAGATCCAAAATTCTGTGAACAGCCGACGAACTTTGATAACTCCACAATCGGATATTGGATATTGGAGATTAATACTTTTAAGCACTGAACTTCGAAGGAGATTCCGGTCCCACGGAATAATCGAATAAATAATGCGTCTTCCTCCCGCGAATGCGATAATAGGGAGTCAAGTTCAGTGAGGCCAATGAAAACAAATAAACAAATTGGCCAATTTCGCCGGCTAACAGTCGGTAGTCGGTACTGTGCTGAGAGCAACGCAACGGATTGTGCAATGCTACATGCTTCCTTTTTAGTTCAACTAACGAGTTATGTTTCCTCTGAATCTAGTTTTCAATTGTTTTCGACGTCCATTTTTTCCTTTATATCATCTAAGTAATTGAGATTTTTCGTCGTCTGTCTGTAGTTTGTCGGCGTGTGTAGTAGACTCATCTTCATTTGGGTAATGAGTTTTTGGAAGGCTGTTTAATTTTAGTTATTTGTTTATATTTATGTGTTGCATGTTCTTCACTTAGTTTTAAAGTTAACTGCTTTTCATTGTTTATTTCTAATAGTTTATATGTATTAGAACTAGTAAAACCATTGCATTTGTTGTGAATGTACAGATACAGTAAAAAATGTTAAAGCTATCTTAAATGAACTTCTAAATTCACCATCACATTCTATCTAAAACATTAATATCTTCACAAAGTCTAAACGTTCAAATGAAGCTCCCACTCGTCTGTAGTCTGAAATATCACGATTATTGCCACAAGTAATATCATAAGTTGATTCATACTTTCACTGTGGGATAATCCTTCTCTTATTGCTCCCAAGCAAACGAGACTTACGCTTTTCAACTTATACATAGCCGCACAAGTATGTGTACTCGCCGTCTAGGTAAAAGTTTAAACATCGATGTAGTGAAAAGTTTCTTGGCAATGTAATTGTGGCGGATATTTTATTTGGGTAAGGGCGAGAGTCGCGACGGTGAACGCTCGCTTTTCAATGAGAATTTAGTTTTAAGTTTTGGAATCGTTTACATTGAAGTTAATATTAAATTTTTATAGTGCTAGTCTTTATTTGTTAGACGTTTCTTAAGTAATATGTATTATTAGAGAGGTCTATTGATTTGGATATTACAGACAATATTTAGAGTGATAATTTTTGTCATGTGATTTTTGTAATATGCAATTACAAAATTAAAGAATCAGTGAACAAATAGGTTATACTTAAAGAGAAAGAGCAGTTTACTTAGACTAAAATGGCGGATACGCAGCTGACAATAAAGTTTTTAGTAACAAACTTATGATACCCGAGGCGACAATATGTATAGGAAACAATACTAAATCATACAATCATCATCATACACATGTGACTTCCTTCAAACAATTCTATCTCATAGGTGTAAGTAAAAAAAATGCTCAATTTCCGATGTCGCATCCGATAGCAAAGACAGACGTGGTCACAAAAAATTCTTTACAAAACTGTATCGACCGTCTTTAGAATGCCTTTCCTAAAACCAAAAAATCACCCTATGCAGTTGTCTTAGAGATTAAAATGGTGCGTTTTAAACGCGATGAAAGTGCAACAATAAGTTTGCTGGAGTATTAAGGCATCAGAAAAAGTGGTAGTGTGGGAAAGATTGTCGTAAAAAACTAAACATCTGCGTTCTCTATTCAAGTTGATTCGAGTGGCTGAATAGGATGGGACGGTAACTCTATATCGCGGAGGCCTTATCATTCTAATGTGTATTAAATTCGATGGAGTTCTGATATCAAGTTGGCATCTTGGCATCTTTATAGGTTTATTAAGTTCCAAACTTATTTCTAAACTTTTTGTCACATTCTGCAGTTTCGTAGTTAGAAACTTGTATAAGCAAAATTATTCAAAGTTTTTATTGGAAATAGTGTCTTGTATAATTTTTCAATCACTCAGGTTCGTCTGTTTTTTCTTTTTGAAATTATACATGTTATTTGAATTTTCTCCGTGTCTAGACTACATTAATGAAAACTCAATTGCAGTTGAAGCATTTATTCCATGAAAAGTTAATATTGAAGTTAAAAAGAATTTATAACAGTGGTAGGTAGATATTAAAAAATGGCTGATAAATCAGACAAAGAAACAAAAACAATACAAATAGAAACAATAAGTGGAATAACACTTAATAACGATCATCTCGTCGTTGAATATTGCTCGTATAAAATAATAGAGCGAGAATTGAATCCGCATCGCTCGGCGGCAATCAAACTGATGTACGTATCCTGCTCACTGTGTCATTACATACGGATTTATAGATGTATTTGTGTGAGAAACTATGAATGGTAAAAATGTTACTGTTAAAAAAAAGATGTTAAGGAATTTGGTGAAATTTTATATCGGAAGGATCTATAGTAGATTTTTGTATTGAGTTAGGTAAAGAAGTAACTTTAGTAATAGGATTTATAAAATTTGTATTAAAGAGAGAGTTACTATAATTCTTCCTGATGAACAGAGTTCAAAAAAGCAATAAAATCCAAATTTCAATGAACTAATTCCAAAATTTAAACAAGTTCAATGTAAAACAAAATATGTTAAATAAGTAAAATAATTTTAATGTATTCTACCTAGAGTCTCTGATTTAAATGATATTATTCCTGCCAAAGCTACCGATATAAAAATGATTGAAGAACATTGTGTGGTGACCGCAATAGGTTAATGATGGGTTAATAGAACAGCCAGATTTGACAAACAAATTGATGAAGGATGTTCATGTTGTAATTTGAGAGATACAACGTTAAATATAAATTAGACGCAACAAATATTTTACGTCCCAGATAGTATATCTAAGAGAATTGAAATTGAAGTAATGATATAGTAAGAATGGCTGTAAACAAAGAAATGACACACAGGTAACCGCCAGAAACTGGATAAATCTGGAATAAAAAAACATTATACACTAGCCTATACCATTAAAGTATGTATTTATGGAAAGTTTCAGAAATCATTTGATTCCCTTATCTTTTTTTGGATTTGTTTATTTTTAAACTTCAAAAATACATGATGTCATGTTATTTGACGATTCATAATTGCACAATGTTGAAATTCGATTATTTATATTTATACACAACAACAAGAACATTTGTATTTATTGTAACATAGAAATAGGTACAAGTGGACCAAATTAGGACACACATCTTACCATCAAAAATCAAGTTCGCACCCATATTTTTCCAAATGAACGAACTGATTGGGGTTCTGTGATGAAACATCAACAGTTGGTTATGAAATTCGATGCAAAAGGATTACAAATGCCTGCACGGCCACCGGTTGATTATGAGGGGTTCAACAAACTGAGTATTAAAGAAACAAAAGACAAAACTGATCAAGAAAACGATAAAACAAATGAAAATAAAAAATAACATTGCAAAACTAAAGTATTGACATCTTGACCATAGATTAAAAGAAATTAAACTCGCACCTCCTTAATGTTTTAAGAAAACTTTTTTGTTACAACATGAAGGTGCTGATGATCCATCGATAAAATATACGAACTACTTACTTGAGCTTCGATACGTTATCAGCAGATTAACATCAACGTATGATCACTTATACTAAGATATGAGTTTCCTGTGCAGGTATTATGCTTAAACGGATGTTACATTACACAGCTGGTAAAGAAAAAATGTTCAAATAACTTTTTATGTTCACTTATTTAATATTTAGTCGAGAATATGTTAGTAATCGGAAGTTGTGGTATGAGTATTGTTTCTTTTAAATGTTTATCGTTGATTTTTTACTCTTAAAAGTGTTGATGTAGGTCATAAAGGTTGTAGGTGAATAATAAAAAAAGATTTTTCTAAACCAAAGATTTGCAATCGATTTCATTGTCAATATATTCACGCTAACCTCTACACTATAATCTATTTAAATACATGTACAGTTCAAGGTAACACATCTACCCACATGTTTCCATAAACAACATTTTACCCGCGAACACACAGCCCACATTCTTCATAACAAGACTCAATGATTTTCGAACATCCATACGAAGTTCAGTGCAGTTTGAGCGTCGCTACAAAAAAGCGACAACATCCGACGCTAAAAATATTCCGTGTAATTGCAGCTCAACGCTGAAAGCGCAATGCTTTCGCTGCAGCGGTTGTACGGTTGCCCTTGACAACCCAGACCCAGATACTATCGCGCTCTACCCACACGTCCACACACACCCACACGTTCACACCCTTCGGATCCTTGCAACACACACGCTCGACTCTCTGCTAACACACACAGCACACATGGGACTCTCGCTTGCGTTCTGAAGTGAGCTTTTTAATTTTTTTTTTTTTTTTTGAGGAACGTTCTTTGTCCGCTTCTACAAAGAGTTTTGCCCTGTGATTACTAGTCGGGACGTTTTCGAGTGACGGTGATGTAATGCGGAATGATTTTTGAACGTTGACGCGATATTTGAACGTGGAACGATCACAAAGGAGTTTTTGAACATGATTGATGTAGATACAGTGAGACGTGATGTCATACAGGACTGTAGAAAGCAGAATATGAAAACTACACATGACTTTTAGTCAAATATTCCATGTCAACCCTTCCATAACCGGAGATCCATCAAAGCCGTCATCCATCATTGGACGGTTAAGTTAGTTCAACATACAGCTGAGAGTACATGCAAGGAAGCCACGAAGGTGTACATTAATTCCACGTAGGGTAATGGAACAGAAAGATCTACTAAGTCCCACAGGAGAAAACAGTAAAGTACTAGAGGGTAAGCGAAAAAGTCGAAACAAGCAAGTTACAATTTACTCGCTCTTTGTATTGGAAACAAAAGACATTTCTTTTGATGCGTATCCTTTGGAAGCCTTACTTTACTTATAACTGAATTCGACAAAGTTTTATAATGAGAGAATTTGATCAATAAGGAATTAGCTGAACCAATGCTAAGTTGATGAGGGAGGCTTTTTTGAAACTTCATTTGAATGTGTGGGATTATTTATTGTCAAAGTTTATAAAACATTTACTAACAAAATAACTATTAGAGAAGAATATAACCAAAACGTGTTCTATCATGTAACAATAATCTAATAATACAATATTATAAGCAGAAATAATTCCCAGGTTTAATGTTAACAAAGGTTTGACGTCATCAATGCTGCAAATGAAGTGCTAATCGATCTCAGTCTGGACGCCTCTCGTGCTACGAATAAACTTCTTGTTCCATATTTAAAAATACACGTGACTATTCTGTTTTTATTATGTTTATAAATAGAACATAATAATGTTTAAATTTTAAATTAAGAAGGACGCGTGATTGAATTGATAGTCTAATTTATGTTTCTTCGTCGTTGTAAAACCGAAATCCATGAAAAATAATGGCCATTAAAATATCTTACATAAGAAAGTAAATGAGAAGAAGTTAAGAAAACAAAATGTACACAAAACAATTGAAATTATGTCAATCATAATCTAAAAAAGGAATTCTATTCCTAAACAATCTAAAAACGCCTCGCATCGAATCTCTATCAATGGAAATAGACAGTTTTAATTTGAAACATTTCAAAAATAGTATCGCCCTTAAAATAGTGCGGCAGAAATAGAGCGTGACATTAGACTCTTCTAATATTAGAAAATGTTTATACTCTGTGATGATGCTACCAAATACGATAGTAGCTAAGTCGTATTAATACAGAATTCAGTGGTGCGTATCCCGAAATTGGTCGTATAATAAAAAGCTCGTGTTTTTATTGTTGTTTCATAGACATTTGGTATTGCTCATATAATGTCAAAAGTACAAAGAATAGTCAGTTTGTAAACAGTCGGGGAACGGATACAAACAGTAGTTTATTTTAGCGTTTCTCGTGAATTGTCTGCCGTTTTAGTGATTGACTGTGTTTTGAATTACTTTCTTTTATGTTCATTTTCTTAGTTGCTGCATTTTTGCTTGCAATATGATATTGTTGTAGATTTTATGCTTTATTCAGAGAAACTTCCGAACATCTTTTATTTTGCAAATTTTTAACTGACAAGTTCCAATTTAAAATTTGATTTCCACACCAATGTTGCCAATCACAAGCTGATGTTGCCATACAAAAAAAAAGAAAAAAATTACAAAATGTTTTTCTTCGTACATTTTCTTGCACGAGGTTGCACGCACGGTATCGGGGTCAGGTTATAGGGGTGGGGGGTGTTGTGACGTCACAGCTGCGAAATGTTACCGGCATATGACAACGTGATTATCGCGCACCGTCGGTTTTATCAACGCACATTAACGGTGCCAACGATTTGCTAATGTTAGTTGGATAAGATGCTGTTTTATCTGATATGTGAAAGAAGATGATTTTCTTAGCGTCAACTATTGGAAGGTTTTAAGGGCATTTTCTGACGTAGTTGGCTGTCGAGGAGAGTTTTAGTGATGGTATTGTTAGAAAATGCATGAATGGATGCGTTTGTTTGTCTATTTACATTTCAATTAAGTAGTAGTATTCTGACTATTGTCTAATTCACATTTCTTCTTACTAACTCTATATTTAAGGTTCTGAAGTTTTGTTTCGATTTATTTGGTTACAAGAACTTCAGTGTTCGAAGAAAAGATACATTTTAAACATAATTAGGCTGATTGTAAACAAATTCAATCGAAAGTTTACGTATACGTTCGCGCCATTGCATCGATTCGCGCTTTATTCAAAACAGTGGCGCGCGCATGCGTGGCCCGCCATCGCCGTAAACATGGCAAGGCCTGCCCATAACTTGCGAATTTCCTTACCTCCTATTCTTTCTTCTTCACAATTTACATCGTTCCCCGATAAAAAGCAATCCACAAGTTCTTTCAATTTGTGTAACCAATTTTCCTCGTATAGTTTGCAATAATATACTTTGTTTGCCCACAGATTGGTGCCGGCCGTACGGATAAGCGGCCCATACGACGCCTCATGCGCCGCAGCTGAAACACGATCAACCAAAAGCCACGAAATCCTCAAACCAAAGCCTCCAGTCATATCTTTCGTTTCGAAAATCTAAATATAAGCACTATTTTTTTAACCTTTTAACGATAAATCTAAATCGTAAATAGTATACGCTATCTCCCAAACAGTACAAATTAATTTAAGTCTGAAGTGATCGGTATTTACAATAAAAAGCCTTGAACGAGCGAAGTTAATCAACCAACGACCAGTATTTAAACGTTCCAAAATAATAGAAATCGTTAAACGAGTGCACAAAATATTTTATCGATCGTTAACATTATTATACGAACCGAATCCTCGAGCATTTTGTAAAAAGTCAGCCAAAGATTTTTATAAACACATAGACTTTAAGCGTTCGTGTAAGTTCAACTGCCTCTTATTAAGGACTTTTATATTTATTCCTTAGCTGGATAACGAAGATATTGTGATTAGTTTTAGTGTAAACCAGTGTGCCGTATAACCGTAACATTAAGTGCTACTTAGATTACCGAACGTTAACAAATTAGTGGAGCCACGTCAAGAGTACAAATTGCAAGTTCCAGTGCAGTTCCGAGTGTTCAGTACTACAATAGACTTAGAGCTTATTTTTGTAAGTGTTTATGGTGCTCGACGCGATGAGGCAGCGTCGAGGTAAGGAGTCATGAGCGAAACGCTCCACAGCGACCCGAGCGCAGATAGCGCGTTACCGCCGTTCTCCACATTCGGCGACATGGAGAACGAGCAGCGGATCCTCACAGCCGACACCCGGCTCCTGGACCCAGCCTGGGAGTACTACGAGAGAACAGGAGACACGGTCTCCGTCATTGCAAGCCAGCCACAATATCGGCCGTGGGAGTCAATGCCTATCACGGTGCACTCCAAAGATTCATTTCTACGGGCTGGCTTCTCCGCGGCACTGGACTACCAGCCCGTTACACTGCAGCCTATCACGAACAAGCTGCCGTCCTTCCAAAGCCAGTTCCAAACATTTCCAGAAACGTCAGTGATACCGGAGACGGGTCTGCCTAGCGTGACCCCTGTGCCGGTTACGGCGAGTCCGACGCCCAGCGCGAGTCCTAGTCAGTTAACCCAGCTCACGCAACTCACGACCCCGTCGTCTCCTGCGCATCTCACAACTCTAGCGCAGATGACACCGCTGTCGACCACCCTGACGACACTGTCGCCTGTAAACGCCACAACATTCCATACACTAACAGCTGTAAACGCCCGCAGCTTCCCTATCGTGCCAGCGCCCTTGCAGGCGAGGGAACTGGCACCCGCTGGGCAGACATACATTGATGACAGGCACATACAGCTGTACCAACCAAACATTGCCACAATAAACGCCTATCCGACACAGAATGGCATTCTACATCAAAACGGAACGCTTCTCCATCAAAACGGGAGCTTAATACAGAACATACAAAGTCCAACCGTAGTTCATGTGTTGAAAAACGAGCCGTTTGATGTTAAAACTCTGCAGGAGAAATATACGCCGAATGGGCTACATCATAGTAATTTCCAGAATCCGATGATGATTGACAATGGTTATGAGAAAAAGACGAATGGTTCGGGACGGGTTCGTCACCAACAAGGTCGGATTTTAGGAAGAAAGAACGACGGAAAATGCGCGCCAACAGTACAGAGTCGGATGGGTCGAATATGGAAGTAGGGTCTGAGAGCAGTGGGCAGGTCGCGGCGGTGTCTTCCACTGCTGGTTTCAAGTCACCAATGCATGGAGCACCTCCCATGGCGACAGGACCTATGGAAATGGATGACATTACCAGTGAAAAACAGGTGAGAGCTTTCAATCATATTTATTATTGGTATTTGACGATAATATTTTCTTTTGTGATAAATATTGTCGAATTTGTAAAGTTAGTTCGAATGGATTTGTCCTCATAAGGGTGCACCCTTGTCTATCACCGTATCTGTAAATCGTTACCGTTGTTGACACTTTCGACTTTGCCAAAGCAATTGAAGTACAATCCAGCATCAATTAACCCTTGATTTACGATAGAACAAAATGTAAACAAAATGATACATACATGTAACGCAGGAGAGTCGAAAGGCAACACAATAAAATCGGGAACGGCAACTAATCTCCCTTCCCACGAATTGGCGAATTGCGTAAACAAGACGCCGGGGAATCGCGAAAAGCCGACTGTATATTCGACGAAAGATATAAGAATTCTGAGAATTTTCATTCAGCTACACGCGCACCGAAAGTAGATATTCGAGAGAACCCGAAAAAGAGAAACTTCCACCGTAATTCCACCTTTTATTATTCTCCGAGCAGTTTTTATTCTCGGTCCTGAGTTTCGAAATGGCCGAACTCCTTGTCTTCGCGGCTATAAATTTAATAGTTAGCCGATTCTCTTGCTCCACCAATAAATTAACTTCCTCTCTCGTTTAAAACACAAATTAAAGTCGGGCGATTTATGCGTGTCCTGCTTAGAAAATTTTATGACTTTGAAATTTAACAGCGAATGCAATTAGTCGGCAGTTTTGAAAAGCCCTCGATATTAACGGAGTTACAATATTTTAATTGTGGCTTTAAAACGGACTTACTAAGTATATGTTTAGTGAATCTTTGTGTCAATGTAGGTAGGCATTTTTGGATGTATGACGTCATATTTCCATGTTTAAATATTGATAAACTAAACTCTTTTTATGACGTTATAGCCATACAAGGCCTAGGTATTCTAACAAGCTCGTGAACTAAGCTGTCTTACACATAAGTTCAATGTAATTAGAAAACTATTGAGAACTAAATGAACTGAGCAATCATAATTAATACATTCCTTACCACTGCTGCTAATCAATTAAAAGCATATAAAACTATTCTAATACTAGATCGTACTTAAGAACGTAGTCAACATGTTCGTATGTAATTTGTTATAATTGTACAACAGTTTGCTATAGAAAAACTTATCTAACTGCTACGAAAGGTTCAGGTTTTGACGACATTCTTTACACAATAAATGTCAGCATTTCCTAGTCTAGTAACAAACACCTTGGCTTGCAGCTGCCAACTCTACAATAGACACTAATTACAATTAGAGATGTTCCTCTATTAGTCGATTCTCTTTCGGAATCGATATAATAATCGGTAAACTGAATAATAGTTAAGTGAATTATAAAGTTAGATTTATTTAATGTACACTTCAACTGTGCTTAAAAGCGATTGTAATCAATAACGAAATATTTAATCTACTTGATTATAATCAATATCATATCAATGTTAATTTTTACAACTTTAATGTATCAAAATTGTTATAAAATGGGTAGTGGCTTTTTACAACGTCGGCTTACTTTTTAATAATCGAAGATCGGAACAGTTTTTTTTTTCTTTCACACCTGTCCTCCACCAATCAGAAGGCAGATAATACATCTAAAAGCTAATTCCATTAAGTAATTAAAGAGTAATCGATAATTTGAGCAATCAATTTAAAATCGACTAATTTATAATTGATGTAGTGACTCGACTAAAGAATTTGATGATTTCGTTTATCGAGAAAGTTCAGCTGCTATGCCGTTGATACTGATTGTAATCGACTATTTTATATAATTTACTCGTTAAACTTTATAACTTAGTTTCTTTAAGAATTTTAAACATTAACATAGCTAAAATTGTTAGTAGTTAATCGTTATTACACTTAATGGAAATAGTATTGCATAGGTACGTCATTTTTCTGTAGATTTTTAATATTTAATTCAAGCAAAGTAATTCAAAACACTTTCGTCGACTAAAATAAGCCACAAATATACAAAAAGGACACAAAAAATCCTAAGCCCACCCTCTATTGTAATTTCTACTCTATTTCTCTACACTAGACCTTATTTTCGTTTGCCTAGCCGAAGCTATTACTCATTACATTATGAGAATGAGTCAAACGCGGGAAAATCCAAAGCTTCCTAGAAATGCGGACAAACATTAGGAAAAGCGGAAGTTGACTATATATTGTGACGTCATAATACATATATAATGTTCTCGTTTTGTAGAGTAAGTGACATAAAGTTTTTTTTTTGAGGGATGATAGTTTCATTTTTTTGTTTCGGGATCATTTCATTTATTTCGGTTGCGTGTGGAGTGTTTAAAATTTAAATAACTAACATAGCATCACGCCTTTTATCCCCGAAGGTGTAGGCAGAGGAGCAGATTATCCCACTGTACAATGTAACATCCACTTTGTGTGTATTGTTACAAGGGTGTAATAGGGGCTGAGCCTATTGCCATATACCGAGCACAATTCCAGACTCCGTGGTACTATTGAGATTAAAAAAAAAACTCTGTAAAACCTTGCCCGAATCGGGAATCGAACTCGAGACCCCTTGCCTGGCAGTCACACTGGCGACCACTCGGCCAACGAGGCTGTCACAAAGTTTAAATAATGATAACGTAATGTTTGAATTTAGCTTTGACTTTACTACTGTCTTAGAAATTATTTTAATCAATTAGTTATGTTACCCTTTTACAACTAACAACACAATAATTATCTTGTAGTTTATACCAATTACATTTTATTAAAAATAAATACATTTCAACGATCAATATAAAAACCATAGACTGATTACTTTGACATTTCAGTTTTTATATATTTTCTTTATTTATTTTAACGATAGAATAAAAACAAACGTAATAGACAAGTCAAAGTTTATTTTGAAATATCTTTTATTATATTATGAAGGTTTTTGGCCCTGATGGTGTAGACAGAAGTACACACGTATTATGATAACGTCTGTGAATTATTCTGAAATATTTTGGTAATAATCAGCTAGCCTTATGTAAAAAATATTTCTTACGAATATAGATAACTAACCTTTTTTTACCTGCGGCTTCGCTCGCGTCACAAAAGGATAAAAAGTAGCCTATGTGACAAATACCAATACACACAGCGCCATCTATACCAATACTTTTGTTTTACCTCGGTAAATCAAATTTTTCCGGGATAAAAAGTACCCTTTTATTTAATCCAGACTTCTATCTTTATGTCTGCAAAAATTCAAAGCAATCGGTTGAGTAGTTACGGCGTGAAAGAGGAACAAACAAACAAACAAACTCACTTTCCGATTTATAATATTAGTAAGGATGATTCTTGTAATACAAAAATAATGACAGAAGTAAATTTCATTCTACAAATAAATAAAAATTATCTGTTCATAAAAAAATCGGCACTAAAAGTTAAAAAATAGTTATTTTTGCTACAAAATAAGTTCCGTGTTACATCTGTTCATGTTGCCATAGAATAAAAGCTCTAAAGGTTAGTTTATACAAAGCAAAGGTATGTTCTATAATGCTAGTTGGTTTAATTAAAAAAATATAGAAAAAAACAAACATCTGCTAGATAAACGGATGATTAGAATTTACCTAAGGTGCCAACACGAACAGGAATATTATATTTTTTGCGATTAGATGTAAGCACCTTAATTAATTTGAAAAAAAACCTTTTATGTACTGAGTAAATACGTTTGCTATTCATCCTTTTGAAACAATTTACTGATATTGGATTGAACTGATAATTAATTATTATATCTCTTGTTTGTTTGTCAATAGATCACAAGTATGACTGTTGAGCATGAGATCTCGTCTCTCACTTAATAATTAGGATTATTTATTTTGGTTTTATCCTTGTCTATGTATTTAGGCTCTCTAAATAATAGAAGCTATTCATGACGTAAATTAAATGAGTGCCATACTCCTAAAAATATATCTTTCGTATCGTTCTTCGATGATGTTAGAACAAAAATATAATTTATTTTCCTAAATATTTACGTATATATAAAAGAAGAAAAAGTAATTTAACATTTTCGACATTATTCAACCTCCGTTTATAAAAAAGCGTCTAACTGAAACAAGCGTTCGAAAAACGAATTTGAATAGAATTCCTTATTTAAATGATCGTCAGCTGTTTGTCGGCACAATCGGTTGGTTCCGATTACGACCGAGATAGTACGAGCGTTGCACGAATTAAATTGCACTCAAATATGGCCGACCTCTCTTTACAATATCACAGCTGTTACATGTTATTTTATTACAATAAATTACTTTGTTTAGTAAACAAACCAAAATTAAATGTTGTAAAATATTCTACAAGATAATCCAAAATTATTCCTATATAATGTAAAATAGAAATTGAATGTCAGTACGTTTTAATCCCTAACATTTATACTACGAGTAATTTTGAAAAAAAAACAGGTACCTATATAATTTTAAACTACTAAAAAGCTTCCAAAATACCTAGATAACGATCTGAAAATGCGATCGCTCCGATTGAATGCGCGAGCGCAGAACCGAGACGAGTCATAATAACAAGCGCGGAATACTCCGAAATGTTGTCTGCCCAGTAATTGCAACGTCCCTTTTGCATTGGACCGAAATGGCCAACATTGGCCATGTATTTCTCCCTTACTATCCCATTTATGAAGTAGAGAGAGTAGTAAATATTTGGTCCAATGTTTGGCCAACGTTTGTTACGGGTTCGTGAATGAATTGCACACGCAACCAACGGGAATGCGATCAGATACGACCACTTTAACAGTAAAATATGACTTAATGAAGAGTTGAAAGCGAAATATTGTAAAATTTAAATATTTGAAAACCATGTTGGGTACTTTATAATGGTCAATTAATTGCACATTATACTTTTGGTGACAATAATGTATTTTTTAAAAGAATGAGGTCATCATTACATTGTGAAATTGCTTTTTTATTAAAATTATTTATTTTTTTGGCATTGTCGAAAGTTGTAGTCTTAAAAACAGTTTAAAATACACAATACCACTGCAACACGCAAAGATTCATTGATTACGATAGCTGCTTTCCCATTGGGCGGTCCTTAAGTAACCAAAATAAATAAAGTAAAAAATCAAAAATCAGGATAATGTTAAAACAGATACTATCTTCTTTATAATAAACCAATATTTCGATCACAGACGAAGAAGAAACGAAAGCGATGTGGTGAATGCATCGGGTGTCAACGCAAAGACAACTGCGGCGACTGTGCGCCATGTCGCAACGACAAGTCGCATCAAATATGCAAGCAGCGACGGTGCGAGAAATTGACCGAAAAGAAGGTGAGTAGTATGCTTTATTTATTTGTTTTAATAACATAAGCAGTTAACAATGTAGGTTTAAAGAACTCTTTAGCTGTCTCAGATAGAGATTGAAGACCTTAGGTGCGTTTTTCCAGGAAATCATGACTTTACCCTATGTATCTAGCTAGTTTGATGATAAAACAATTAAATGTCGATAGAAAACTTTACATGTATGTATACTTAGCATATAAAAGCTCTGTATTGCTGAACACTTTTGAACGTAAAATGTCCTATATAAGTGTAGAGACAAATAATATTTAAAACAACCACAAGAGATAATAAATTTATTAGTAAACATGATTAATAGTAGTCATTATTTCATATAATATAAAAAAGATGTTTAAAAACATATAAATTACATACACATGGTAAAGATAAAGCATACGATGGCAGTTTTATTAAACTTAAAACTTACGGCATTTTAAAAGGACATTTCAAATTCATTACAATCTATCACCCACTTTACAATAAATAACGATTATTGCAACGCTTGCCAAAATAAATTTATTGTCATTCACGAAATACACATATCCACTCCAAGAACACGCCGCTTCTCGATTTCAATACGATATTTTATACATTCGAATCGATTCTGATAAATTTCATAAAAAAATGTGTTGAATCGATTTGCGAATGACGCAAATACCTCGTTGTCGCCTTGTCGTGTTATTTGCATTAATTTATACGATCGAGTGTGTTGGCCGACATCTTGTGTGACGCCGGTGTGCTTGACAAGATGGCGGACGCTTTGATATGTCATTTGACAAGTAAATGGCGCGTCGCAAAAGATAAAACAAATTAGAAATGTAATTATTTACTTTTTATTGATAAATGAGGTAGTTAGAGTAACTAATGATGGGTTTTATTTTATTTGGCTTTTGAGGTGTATTTTTTATTTTTCCTGAGAAACGTAGTGGTTTATATTTTACTAATATCAAACTTCTAGTGTCTTTTTCGTAGCGAAAATAAGTCTAGGGCAGCTTAGTTATTTTTTATGGTAATGATCGCCATCAAATACAAGTTTATCAAAATAAAAGCAAAAACGATTCAAAACAAAACACAGAGATAAGCTTATTAACATAAAATACCAATAAAATATTATAATAGCAAAATTAATAGGCCGTGAAAAGAGCATTCGCTGTTCAATCTACACGCTACGACAAGTCTGCGATTGTTGACCGTAATACCTTTATAATTAGGTCGCATATTCTAGAGCATTATATGAACCTTACGGCTCTTTATTACTAAGTCGTTTGTATGTCAATTTTCTAAAATAAATTGATACAAAAAGTCATTTACAAATTGTTGTGCTTTTAGAAATTATTACAAAGTGCGTATTTGTTCTACCCTTTTTAAAATAATGTATGTAATTGGTATCGTAATATAAATAAAGACTAAGTTTATTTCCAAAAGGAAGGATATAAAACCATTGTGCATATTTCTACTAACCAAAAATTGTAATGTTATCCAAATTGACATTCTTCATAATAAATACACTGACCATTTTTTATGTAGTTACATATGAACAAATTAATAAATCTCAAAACTGTTTAAGATTTTGTCTGGCTTAGGTCATCGCCGGGACTGTGGCAGACAGCTTGAATAATGCGATGAACTAAGCTTACAGATGGACTTTGCAAAACAAGTGTATTGTACAACTAAATTAAATATCATCTAAAACTGATATGAAATACGTATACATACAAGTCGAATTGAGAACCTCTTTTTCTTTTTTGAATTCGATTAAAAGCGAAATTTACACATTACTTTGACCATGAAAGCAAATATTGTTATTTATGTTTAGTATTAATTACTCTAACCATCAGAATTTTCAGCAAAAATTGATAATTATGAGATAACAAGCGAAAACATAATCAGGGTCCTATCTTCTTATTAAAATCCACACTAACAAAAGTATAGCTAAAGAACAAAAATTGCTCGAATACTTTTTCTCAAACAACGGTAACCGAAAAAAGTTTTTGCCAAAGAAAGTGCGAAGCGAGAAACGTACTTGACTTAATTTACGATTATAAGTTACCGACTGCGAAGTAACTTTAGCAAATTAGTTTTAAAACAAGCACCGTAAAGCTTTTTGGGGGGATATGGGTGGTCCCACCTTTGTTCCAAGTCCAGGAATTACGTTTATTTAAAGTCTACTTTGAATAAGTACTAGGGTTACTCTGAACACCTTTTTCAGAGGTCTTTTAATGACTGAGATGCGACTTGGGGCTTGCTAAAAATTTGGCAGACAAAGGGCTATTGTCTAAGGAAATATAACCTAATAGAGGTCTTGCTTAATTTCAAAATTGAGCTCTCAAAGAGCCTTCTTATGATTAGGTATATGATTTTAAAATTTGGCGTTTTTAGTACCCAGCAGTTGGCGCTGCTAGCGAATAAAGTGCTAAGATGTCGCTGTCAAAAGTTTTTGTTTATCAAATTCTAACGCTGAATTTGGTTTGTTTGTAAACTTACTATCCTTTTACGGTTGATAAAGCAACAGTGAGCTATCAATCAAAAGTTTCGTTCTCAAGATTACATTTAAAGAGCTATATTTATGCCAAGTAATAACAAAAATACCAATGTGTACAAAGAACAAAACGTTGTGTTATTTAAAAAAAAATAGCAGCTTTTTGCAATTTTTAAATGAAAGAATGTTACCTATCACATATACATATGTACATTATATCGTTGTAAAAATAGGTATGTAAGCGAAATAAAGTCTGATATTAAAGTACCAATTTCCTTTAAATAAACGATGATCGTAATATTTTTATCATACTGACGACGTTAATAAACACCTGATTACAATGTTTTATAGCTCAAAATTATAGTTTTGTACATCATAATGGGAAATTAATAAAATGTAGTCGCCATTAGCTACTGGAAGTTGATTGGCATGCTTAACACCTGGATTGTATTGGCAACATTGATATGAAATGATGATAGTTATACGTAGCGACTTCTATGCAGGTGTTGCAGATTTTTACACGTAGATCAGAGAATACTTTTGACATAAATTGACCTGGCTGTCAACCATTGTATTTTAATGCAATAGGGACCCAAACAAACTAACGAATGTGAACGTCCCGCGAAACGTTGATGTCCTATCTATTTCTTTATCAAGCATCGATCACACAGAAGGTGACAGAAGCAGGGGACCTTTTAAAAAAACCAATTCAGCTGTTCCAAACATTTATTTGGCCACCGGTCGCTTTTCTTTTTTTTTCTGAAAAACTTTAAGGTATTATTTATATAGTGCGGTTCATATGTCGCACACATTATCTCGGCACGCGTTAACGTGCGCGGCAGATGCGCGCATGCGCGGTGAGCTCCAATCGCAGAGCGCCGCCTGCGCAAGGAACGCCTCTGCCTTTATCTGATTGTACCTATTGTTGGCTAAAAGGTGTTGCGCTGTGTGACGGATTTATTATCGACTTGGATTGTACCAACCATATACATGCATAATCATTTTATTTTATACCATCCAATGGTTTTATTTAGCCGTGTACACCTGTAGTCATTTAAACTAGGTACTAGGTACATCTTGCTTGTGATATTTTTTATCAAATCCTTTGTAACACAACATGATTACGCTTATTTATATTAGAACAAAATTATCTTACTAAACACTAACAAAAACAGTCTTTCAGCCCTTTAGTAAAGTCATTTGCCCATTCTAAACTATACATTCTTCAGGGTATTGTTCAATCATATTAAAAAACAATCTTCACTTGAATAGATACTCACTGCACTATGTATTTAGACTCATAACCGCAACACCTAATACAGTATTAATAGCTTCATTAATCTCAAATGGCACAGTGCTCCTGAATGCGCTGTCCACCCTGTCCGATGATATTGGGAAGGGGTGCAACAGTGTGGTACTCACCCCGCTTATTGGGGCGATTGGTGATCACACCTGATACAATCGTGGACGCCTCTTATAACACTTTCGAAAAAGGGGTGAAAATTGGGTGCATTTTCTAAAGTATATTTGGTTTAATTGGTGATTGTTCTTAAAGGTTATTTTGGTATGCTATGATTTAAGATGTTTTTATAGCAAATATCGTGAGACATACTAAATTAACTAAGAACCACAGGTTATTCACGTAAAAACAACTGAGAAAAGCTCTACCAGTCTCGAGCCATAGAGGGGTTTTTCCTCATGACCAGTCTGTGCGGTCGCGGCAAACACAATAAAATATATCAGAATACTTTGAATTAATACAATAAGAATATGAGAAAGAAGGTATTCTATTACTCCGAAGTTGACACGCATATTAATTTTTGCACCTAAAGTTTGTAATTATTATTAAAATGTTTGCAGAAAACATTTCAATTAGAAATTATGCCCCACTGTTTGCGCCAAAGTGACATTGAGAAATTTTTACCAAAGAAATGTGAAAGTCATTAAAATTTACGACCGAGACACTATAAGAGGGCAGTGGGTAGAAACAACATAATCGATGGCAAAATTGTCTCGCTAATCGAGTAACGGTGTTTTCCCCAGAATTTTCGCAAACAAACATACAATAAACATTACTTACTAATAAAACTAACGCATAAATCACAGCCGGTTTTATTTTATCGCACAATTTAAATGGACTTTTTTTGTTTTCGAGCAATCTTTTTTTTCATATTAAATAGCGCGGGAATACGTCCCCGTCGCCATCTTGAAATTAAGAAAATTTATTGCTGCGAAAGCAATTTCTGTTTTATCATAAGAATATCGAAAAACTTGAGTTTATTAAGCTTAGGATTTACGACAAAACTTTGTCCTATTTTAGTTAGTTTATGAAACTAATATTGGTTGACAAACAATGAATATTTATGGATTTATAGTGCTTTACAATTTGTTTGAAAAACAATACCAGTTTATAAAATCAGAAGTTATTTATTAATCAAATTAATTTCGAACTTATTTAAATGCCATAACCATTTCATTATCTGGAATCACGAATCGAATGTTCATAAAAAAC